TTTCTAGGTATTTTTAAATCATTTATTTGCCGACGTTTCGATTTTTCATGTAAATCTTTTTCAAGGCATCTAAAATATTTTAAGAGACATTACAATATTTTTTAAATATATGTATAACAAACATGTGTATATAGAGTCAAAAATTCTTAATACATAAAAACATAAAGTCAATTAAAAGTCTTACAAAACAATACACTAAAAATTAACAATGTAAATATGAGCAATCTTGAAATTAAAAATTACTATTACAAATTATAGCAGAGCACGTACCTCAGATGTTGTTTCGGCCGTTGAATTCTTATATTAATCGTGATGTTGTGGTTTTTTGGTGTGTTATGTTTTATTTTTTGGCCGTATGCGTTTCTTTCTGTATTGTCTTATGAGGGTCGGTTGACGGGTTGAAAAGTACTGGTTTTATGAATGTTGCGTTAGTTTATAAAGTTTACGTATATTTTACTCAGGTTTTGAATATCCTGTCTGTCGTTTGCTGCGTTTTTGTTTCTCGCTATATGAATCATTTCCTTTATGTTTAATTTATTATGATGCCTTTCTCTTGATCCAATATTTTGAAATTTTTAAAGTCGAACTCGTGGTTGGTGTTATATTCATGTTTGTGTAGGGCTGTGGGGGCGTTTTTGTTGTATTTGTGTCCATTAATTCTATTCGACCAAGATAATCACAATTGAAATATTGAAAAAAGGTTTAAGAAAAAGAAAGCTATCTATAGAAAGTAATGCAAGGGTCAAATATTGCAAACAAATACAACAAAAACGCCCCTATAGCCCTGCACAAACATGAATATAACACCAACCACGAGTTCGACTTTAAAAATTTCAAAATATTGGATCAAGAAATGCATCATAATAAATTAAGCATCGAGGAAATGATTCGTATAGCGAGAAACAAAAACGCCGTAAACGACAGACAGGATATTTAAAACCTGAGTAAAATAGTAGACTTTATAAACTAACGCAACATTCATAAACCCAGTACTTTTCAACCGACCCTCATATCGCAATACAGAAAGAAACGCATACGGACAAAAAATAAAATATAACACACCAAAAAACACAATATCACGATTAATATAAGAATTCAACGGCCGAAACGAGGTACGTGCTCTGCTACAATTTATAATTAATTAATTAATTGTTAATTTTTAGTGTATTGTTTTGTAAGGTTTTCAACTGATTTTATGTTTTTTTGGTTTAAGAATATTTGACTCTATATACACATGTTTGTTATTTGTTATATATTTAAAAAAATTGTAATCGTATTCTAATGTTTTTTAAAATATTTTAGATGCCTTGAAAAAGATTTACATGAAAAATCCAAACGTCGGCGTCGCGCGTCGGCAAATAAATGATTTAAAAACACCTGGAAATCATTTAATTTTAATAAAGAAACCTATACCCAAGATAATCATAATTGAAATATTGAAAAAAAGGTTTAAGAAAAAGAAAGATACCTATAGATAATAAGCAATGATAGGCCATTGACAAATATCTATATGGAAGGTTCGATCTCCAAGACGAAGACTTTTACGTCTGGAGATTGAAACCTAAGGAACAGAGGAGGAGCACAATAGATCGAAGAATCTATCTGCCCAATGAGTAAAGTCAAAATTTTTTATTATATGATAAAAAAAGATGTTTCTTAATATTTCTCTTTAGTAGATATCAGTTTATTAATCATTATTTGACATTATTGCACAACGTTGTTCTTTTGACACTAGTTCTTGTCCTATATTGCATGTCATTGTTGTAAAATAGTATTTTATGCCACATTGCTCTAGCAGAGTTTTCTAAGATAATCTATCCAGCAAAATTCTAATGCTTAAATGAATATTTCTTTCCCCCGTAAACTCGCTCACATAACAAAGAACTTATTATGGCATTTAGTATGGTGTCACGCATAAAAGAACACGCGATTGCAACTAGTCGTGCGACTGGCGGTTTGATTTTGTTTAAAACAATGGTAGGGCGTGGCTACGAACGCGGCTGGCGTTCCCGACCCTCCCCGGAAGTAACAATGCCTCTTTCACCACTGGCGGAAATACGAATACAAGGTGAACCATATTTATTTACACACTATGTATTTTCAGACTAAAACTATGAATTAATAAAAAACGGAAAAGTGCGAGTCGGGCTCACCCACCGAAGGTTTCGTATAAAGACTATCCCATCAAAAACATAGAATGTAAAAAATGCAAAGTCTCGCAATATAATTCTTCCACTACAAAAAGTAAGTTTATTTTAGTTAGTTTCTCTTTAAGCACTTATTCAACAATTTTGTTACAAATTGTTAGTATCAATATATTAGATATTTTTATTTCTGTAATAATTATAATGACTTGGCAATTGCACGATGTGATATTCCATACTAATTAAAAACACTCTGTTGTCTGTCACAAACGTCTATCTTATGAACCGTTGTGATAGCTAGACAGTTGAAACTTTCACAGATAATGAATCTATGTTGCCGCTATAAGAACAAATTCTAAAAACAGGATAAAAATAAATATTTATAAATAAATAATATACAATATGTTTTAAGAATCATACATAGTAGTTTTACATAACAAGTCCTCGGTGGCCGCGTGGTTAAAGCGTTAGGACTTTACGCTGCTATGACATGACGTTGGAGTCTTAGTAAGGCAGGTTCGAATCCTAGTCAAGGCGACTTTTTTTAATCGTTTTTTTTTAATTTTTACATATTTTTACATATTTATTTTTACTTTTTACATATTTATTATTGATTAATACAGTTTTTAGTAATGTGTTTCTTCATTTTTTTTAAATTACTTCTACGCACATTCAAAATTTCAGCTAAATCGGAAAAAAAGTTTATAATAATATAGTGTCTAATGTTGTATAGATAATGAATCGTACGGAACCCTTCGTGCGCGAGTCCGACTCGCACTTGACCAATGTTTTAATTATGATGTGGTCAAAAATGGTTCCAAATAACCAAAAAATCAGTTTTTTGAAATATCTGCGAAAATATGCAATTTATAAAATTTTTCTTCAAATAAAAAATAAAGCTTGGGTCATTATCTACAATAATGGTTCTAGCACTTTCCAAATAACGGGGTTTTCACCACTATTGGCCGAAATATGGCATGTAGATGATTTTCATGATCGCCAAATGGAAGATTGGGTCATTAGATAAAAATATGATACTCGCATTTTTTTTCGTAAAAAGAAACCATTTCGACTACTCGTTCGATTTTCTTTTGATTACTATATTTTCGGGAAATCCCCCAAAAAAGCGGAAAATATTTGCTACTCACGAATAGTTGTTTTTTATGAAAATGTGATTAAACAAATTCTTCAAATTTTATAAGTTGCTTAAAGAGACTCTAAGAACAAAAAGAAATCTTGACAAATAAGCTATTATTAGTGAAAATATGAATAAATTTGTAAAAATCTGAAAATTTTTGGACCAAGGAATGTTTGCTCGTTTTTTTTTATTTTTTATTTTATATTATCATAAAATATGACAAAATTTAAACAAGTTCCAAAATGTGATAGCTGTTGATTCTATCTTTTAAATGAACTTCGAATCATCAAACAAAAAATATAAAATTTTAGCCGAGTTATTAAACAATTATTTGTCCTATCAATCAATATGATACGCTTATTAAATCTATCTTCGGAGCTTTAAGACTTGGAGGGAAAATTGAAGGATTTTTGAGGTGGAATATCTCGAAAACTACTAATTCTACGTAAAAAATGATGCAATTCATTTTTTTATGTAATTACCTAAGGTTCATTTTGTATTTCAAGAAAAAATTTGTAAATTGCATATTTTGGCAGATATTTGCAAAAAACTGATTTTTCGGCCATTTGGGGCCATTTCTTTGGTCAAAGCAGGCCGAGCACGGTGTTACAATTTTTTCTCCTAAAACGACTGCCCAAAAGGTATACAATCCGTCTGAAAAGTCCCGCTCGACGAATTAAGCCGCAGTTTCAACCTTTATTTACTGGACTATTATGCTTTAATTACAAATGTATAGTTTTCAGATTATTCTCTATACTTGTATAAGACGCGATTCCAACTATAACGTTCCGCCACCGTCACGTCAAGCCGCCGCGCCATCTCGACAGATAACATGAAGTAAATGGGAGATGGACGTTGCCACGACGCCGACGGAACGGCGACGGACGTTACACCGGTAGTGTGAATATTATATATTCATTGCTGGCCATTTAAGAATATTTACCGTGGTGACCGAAAGCTAGACGGCGCCGGCGCGGCGGCGGCTAGACGTGGGCGTGACTGACGGTAGCGGGACGTTGCGTTGTAATGGCCAACAGTGAACATATTCACAATACCGGTAACGTCGCTGTCCCGTCGTGGCAACGTCCATCTCCCATTTACTTCATGTTATCTGTCGAGACGGTGGCTCGACGTAACGATTACGGAACGGTATAGTGAGAATCGCGCCTAAGACGGTATTACTTACTTAACTTAACCAAATTTCATAGTTCTAGGTCAGCAAAAAATACCCTATAAATGTTAATTCTCTTGAGAGTGTCGAAATATACATATTTGTGGCGGCAATTTATGCCGCCACAAATAAAAAAAAAAGATACGCCCCTTTGGCCGTATCTTTTTTAACGTTTACTTAGTTTAGTTAAGTTTGATTTTTCACAACAACCTGAATATATGATTTTAATTTCAACTCGATACCCGATACCCCTACGCGTTCCCGAGAAAAACGGTCTTGACCAAAGGTCTTGACAGACAGACGGACAGACGAACGAATGGACAACAAAGTGATCCTATAAGGGTTCCGTTTTTTTTTTCTTTTAAGGTATTCAAAGTCAAATAACTAATGGTGTAATATAATTATATTTTTTTGAGAAGTATTTAGCTGTTTAATTCCTGAACGGACCTAATAAACTTAAAATCATATTAACAAGAAACCACCTTATTTTTGTTTAATTAGAATTTAGATCTCAACAAAGAAATATGACCTATGTTTCCATGGCAAATTCAAATAGTTGAAATAAATATTTCAACTTCAAAATTTTAGTCAATTTTTCGAGTTTTTTTTCTACGATAATTTATCAAAATTCAAGTCATAATTATCACACGCTAGCGAATTATTTTCCGCTAGTATACAAAATTGTTCACGTGAAAGAAAAAAACGGAAAAAATCCATCATGGCGTTCGTGTGCCCGGAGAAGAAGCAGCAAAGAAAATACCTTCTGTGCCAGCTGAAAAAACTGGTGGACAATATGGGAAACGGGGACTCGGGATGTTGTCCCGGTCCCTGTCCGCCGATTAACAGTTGTATTGGGCCTGTTATCGAAATATACGATCCATTGCCAAAGCCGTGCTTGCCGATTTGCAGTCCCATGTGTCCGCCTCGCTGTTCGCCAGGTTGCTGTCCCCCGCCTAGTTGCTGTCCCCCGCCTAGTTGCTGTCCCCCGCCTAGTTGCTGTCCCCCGCCTAGTTGCTGTCCACCTCAGGCGTGTTGTCCTACTCCGTGTTGTCCTCCAGCTTGCACTCCAGGTAAATAAATAAACTTTACTCTTTTCTCATTGGAAAATTATTTAGAAGTGATTAAAAAACGGCGTCGGTGATGACTTTGAAATAAAGATGGCTGTTATTTTAATGTAACTGTCATTTATGTGGGGAATGTCATTGATCGTCATTTCAAACTTCAAACCCAACAAGACGCTGTTTTTTTTCGATTATACCTTTGAATAAGAAGACTAAGGAAGGAGCATATGAAAAATCTTAGGTACACCGCGCGATGGGCCTCAAATATGGCCGACTTAAATTCCGGTTTATCAGTGTCGTTCTAATTTTATTTAAAAAATGTAAAACTATGATGTAGGGTAGACGTGGGGTAGACTCAATAATTTGTTGTTTTATTTTACGTTGTAAATAAATGTTGCTAGTTATTAAAACTGTTATAAAAATATATAATTCTAATAAAAATAGATAAGCTTATAATAAGTATTTATTAACACAAACATCCGATACGCTACTGAAGCAGATAAGTCAAATTAACGTATCTAAATTCTTTGGCATCTAATCTTTGACAAGTAATAAATAAAAGCTAAAAGGCAAGAAAAATATATAATTTAGTTAATTTAAGTGAATTTCATAAATGATCGGTTTACTACACGTATGTATATTATATAGTCACTTACTAGCGAAAAGTTGTTCCATTATTTCACTCAATTTTTCCCGAGATCTACCGCACGCTACACAACCAACTATTTTAGAGTCTTTTTCGATAAATCGCGATAGTGTCACTGTTAATTTAAGTTCTGCCACAATTTCCATCTAGATTTACTACCTTTATACAACTATAAGTAGTAGAACAAATAATAAATAACATAAATAAGCTCCGTAAAGACTGACAAATCCACAAAATTTCAAGTCAAATTCAAATGTGTCAAATGAATCGTCAAACAGAACTGTCAAGGATCCCCGCCCTAGAGTGCTTTTATGGTGCTTTTTCCGCCCACCATGCATGAATACATGGATAGCATTATGCTCCTTCCTTAGTCTTCTTATTCAAAGGATTATATGGTACTATTAAATAAAAAAAACTAACGAAGAAGTCAAATACTGTTTGTATATTTATACAGGGTGTTGAATTTTGACCGTTATTTTTTACCAACATGGCAAATATAAAATCCCTCTATCAAAAAAGTTACTTTTATTCTTTAAGTTGAGTGCCTGAACGAATCAGATAGTTTTTACTTTCGTGAAATAGAAAAGGAAAATAATAAAATAAGTTGAAAATAAGTGACAGTTCTACTCTCGGTTCTACCTCTTCTTACCAAAATCAACACGAAATGTCCTAATTGTCAAAAGTAAAATGTCATCAGCTTTTGATTTGATTTCTAAATATCAGACCAAGGATATATAGAATAAGGATATTCGACTGGCCCAAAAAAAAACGTGCCGTATTCGTCACAACCAATGGGCGTCGAGTATTTGAAATTAAAAACATATAAAATGACGGTAACCTATGTTTTTTTACTCATTTCACTGACAGATGTGATGAGATTATTATTGTAATTTATAGATCCAAACGTTTTTTGAATAAATAATTTATTTTAAAGTTATTTCCTAGATGTTTGGTTTGGCCTTCTATATTCTGGTATTTGTCTACTAATAAATAATATCTTATTTTGTATTTCGATGTATGGAAACCCGCAAGTTTTGCAGAAGCCGCAAAAAAATTTCGCTCTATAGTGAGAAAAATGTTATATCTTTTTAGACGTGTAGAATTGCAAAATTTCTTATTTCAGATGTTCTAAATGTGAGTGCTTAATGTCAAAAATTAAAATATATACTTGAAATATTATTTCAAGTTATACCCTTTGCCCTTTGGAAGTAAACAAATATTGAAGAAAGTGTTGTGCCTTCATAGAATTTAAATTGGCATTAGGGATAGATTTTCTTGATTGAAATAGATTACCTATTTATAGTAATAAATACTTTGGCAAATAAACTATGAACCATACAAATGTAGGAAATGTTTTACAATATACAAATAATGAATAGGTACATAAGATAATGGGTAAAATGTAAAATATATTTTAAATTTTGGGGTTTGAAAATCGATCTAATTTAACAAAAAACATTCAATATCTACTAATAGTGATTATTAGTGACCCCAAAATTATATCTCTAGCCCTCTATATCTCTAGCATGGCCGCAAGTTGATAACCTAATAAAATTAATATTAGAAAAGCCCGCGTGAACTGTCAAATTCGTTTAAAAAAGTTATTCGTTTCACAGACTTTGGTTTAGCAAACTGGCTATCAAAACATGCTGTAAGCAACAAAACAAAAGAGTGCAAAAGAGTGCTATAAGCAATAAAACAATCAAAACGCGAGTTTGATTGCTTTGGTTTCGCTTTTTTTTCTTTCTTTTTCCTTGTTTGTTTAATGTTTAATTAAATTTTTCCTTAATTGTTTAATGCGCATCTGTTTTTTTTCTTAACTTTAATACCAATTACCCCAGTATATTTGCAATTTTTAAGGATAATAGAATGTGACTATGTATATAATTTTTTTCCATAATATAATCCAAAAATAGCCGAAAACCGTATATGGAACTGTTACCCAACTACGGCATCAATAAAAAATAAACCTGAACGTTAATTAATTTAAATTTTATGAAGCTTATTGTCAAATATGATTTATTATACTAACATAAAAAATTCCATATTTTTTACAACTAAATTATTAGCGCAAACTTGATGTGATAAGAAACGTTTTTTGTAAGACAGTTTCGAAAAAAATATTTTTTTCCTCTAAAAGTATGCGCGGGGGCGTTTTTTACAAGCCGTCGGTGGAGTTGGAAAATATTTCTATAAAAATTTTAGTAGGGTGGGGGTAGTTTTCATACTCTTCATACTCCTTCTTGATTTTTGTTAAAGTCAAATGTTAAAGCACTTAGCAAAACATAAGCATCCCAAATCTCATTCAAATCGGAATAACGGTTCTTAAAATATCTTAAAAAATGTGTTTATTTTTTAAAAGTTTCGTGCCTTCTACGGAGGTACAGCCACTTTTTTTTATAGAGGTAAATTACTGTATACAATGTACTTATTTTGAATCAAAAAATACGTAGTAGTTCTATGTCTACGGAATATTGGGACACCCTGTATTTTTACATTTAAAAAACCAATGTTATGTAATTGTTTGATTTTACCGTTGTTTGACATTTCGTCTCGTGTTAAGTGTTAAATTTGATTTTTGTTGAAAGTTGACTAAACGTTTTTTATTTGTTATTTTGTTTTTTTTTAAATAAGATATTTCTGATAAGCTTAGGACAACATAAAATCAATAAACTAACAATTCTGTTCAAAAATAGACAATGTGTACGTGAAGTGCACAGCAATCAAATAAGACATTTCTTGACAATATGGCGAAGGAAAAATTTTAAACTCGCATATTGAAACATTCCTTTTTGATAAAATTTCATCGTTTTTCTCTAGCTAAATAATCGTCATAAAATTAATTATCACTTTCCTGTGACGCGTTTGTTATAAGAACTATTGTTTTATTATACTCGTATATATACCGGGTGCGTCTCAAAAGTGGCTCACCCCAATAACTTTTTTATTTTCTCAGATAAAAAATCGAAATTTGGTATACTAATATATGACATAATATATTAGGTTTGATTGACGTATTCAATTGTTTTCTGTCACTTCCTGTTTCACCGGAAATGACTACAACTTCTGATTTTTAAATAGCACCCTCTGTACATTTTCACTTTATTCGATAGTAAATAACACTCTGAATAAAATGACATATCATATGTCAACTTTTGACATCGAATATGGTTTATTTGAAATTGCGATTCATAACGATAATTTGACTCGAAATACTAAGTGTGTGGTACCAAATTATTCGCCAAAAAATGCTTTTTCCAAATTAACGAGCCACCCGATTCGTTCCATTTGAAAAAATTGAGATATGATTAAAAATACGATTTGGACATCTTTTAACCGACCTGGACAAGACACAAATAACATTAGACGATCATATCTATTTTTCCAAGGCTCCTTGATTAAAAATTAGTGTTTTGAACACAGCCGTGGCACTCTAGATTGAAATTTAAAATTCAATTTTGTTCTAAGCAAAAATGTCAAAAGTTGACATATGATATTATGTCATTCTATTTAGAATGTCATTTTCTATCGAATAAAGTAAAAAAATACCGAGGATGCCATTTAAAAATCAAAAGTTTTAGTAATTTCCGGTGAAACAGGAAGTGACAGAAAACAATTGAATACGTCAATCAATCCTAATTATGTCATATGCTAACATACCAAATCTCGTTTTTTTTTTATCTGATAAAATAAAAAAGTTATAGGGGTGAGCCACTTTTGAGACGCACCGGGTCCTGGTATACCTACTTTAGGATAATACAACCAACAGTTTTTGTGTTATAGTTTAATTTATTAGAACATCTATATTTTCTAATTTTGAGATCTGTATGAAATTCTAAATACATATCATGTATCATGTTATACCGGCTGTTTTGCAAAAGTGGCTCACCCCCTATAATTTTTTTATTTTTTCAGAAAAAAAAATGAGATTTAGTATGTATTGATATAAATTAGGATTGATTGACTTATAGTCGGTCACTTCATGTTTCACTGGAACTGACTTACAACTTTTGATTTTTAATGACACCCTGGCTATTTTTGTAGTTTTTGAAAATTTTTTGTATATAATATGTTATTCTGAACATATTCTGTATATAATATATTATTCTGAACTGTTATTCTGACACATATCATATGTCAACTTTTGACATTTTTAATTAAAAAAAGTAGCATTTTAAATTTCAATGCAGAATGCCATGGCTGTGTTCAAACAACAATTAGATTCGAAATACCAAGTATGTGGTACTCATTTTTTTTATCTGAAAGAATAAAAAAGTTATAGGGGGTGATACCACTTTTGAGACGCACCCAATATATCATATTCGCCACACTTTTTTGAAGCACCCTGTATATTCTATAAATTAGTATTCGATACATCAATCAATCCTGATTTATGTGATATATAGAAATATCAATCTTATTTTTTTATCTGAAAATATAAAAAGTTATAGGGGTAAGCCACTTTTAAAAAATACCCGGTATTAAAATTAGTATTTTGAACACAGCCGTAGCATTCTATAAACCTATTAATAATTTTAAAGTTTAACTCAATCTAAGCTGTGTGAATAACTACAATCTATACTATGTCCAGTTAATTTCTCAATAACGGTATGTAGGTACATAAGTATATTAATTTACAAATTGGAAGTAGAAACTAAAGCCTCATTCATAACCTCGAAATTAGTGGTTTTAATTTGTACTTTTTCTTAAAAATTTACGATCATTCGCCAGTGTATAAATAAATACAATTAAAATTAATACAATATCCTATTATTATATTTTGAAGTAAAATTAGTGGCAAAAGTTAAATTTTCGTTAAAGCTTCATTCAGAACCTCACAATTAGTGGAATAAATTAGTGGTTTAAATTACCGTAGAAGTTTGTTCCTTTAATTTCAATGTAAGCATTCCGAACGTCAAAATTAGTGGTTGACATTTTCAATTAGAAGAAAAAGTTATTAAAATATTTATCTTATAAAACAATAAACTTTTGATTTCTAACCACAATTTCTCTTGACGGACGATAATCAAAGGTTAAAATGGCATTTCCCGCAAATTTTGAAGTATAATTAATGGAAAAGTCAAAAGTTTGTTAACTTTTTCTACTAATTGAAAATGACTACCACTAATTTAAACGTTCTGAATGCTTACATTAAAGGAACAAACTTTTTTGGTAATTGAAACCACTAATTTATTACACTAATTGCGAGGTTCTGAATGAAGCTTTAACTTTTCCATTAATTATACTTCAAAATTTGCGAGAAATGTCATTTTGGCCTTTGATTATCTTTCGTCAAGAGAAATTGTGGTTAGAAATCAAAAGTTGATTGTTTTATAAGCTAAATATTAGGCTTTCTCTGTGGATACAACTGACTAACGCAAGCTGTTGCTAGAATATTCTATTAATTTTAATTGTATTTTTTAAACAGTGTGAATGACCATAAACTAAAAGTACTATATAAAGTGTAATTCAAACCACTAATTTAGTCCACTAATTGCGAGGTTCTGAATGAAGCTTAACTGTTTCTATTATTAATTGAAAATTACTAACATTAATTTTGACATTCTGAAGGCTTACATTGAAATTAGAGAAACAAACTTCTACGCTAATTGAAACCACTAATGTATTCCATTAATTTCAAGGATCTGAATGAAATTTATGAATTGGTTAATTCAGAAAAAGAAAACTAGACAGTTGTTTTCATATAATAGTACAAATCACTAATTAAAAAATATTATTTTAGGCACTTGTCCCCCACAGAACGCTTCCGTCCCCATAACCATACCACCCCCACAACCCATATCTGTCCCGCCTATATTACCTGTCTGTACCACGGTACCGCCACCGTGCGTTCCTATATGCAATCCTTATCCGGAAGAGCAACCTTGCGTTCCTTGCAATCCTCCTCAGATGATGGTCTGTTATCGCAGACCCAAAACCAAAACGACGGGACCCAGGAGCAAGAGTAGAGAGCTGAGAGCGAGCATCTTGCACGTGGGATGTGATTGTGAGAAACATAATGGTAAATATTGGTTTATAAAAAAAAATATGCAACTGCTTTTTTACAGAAATTTGTCTAGATAATGGGTACTATAAATAATAGTTTCATAATCTTCAGTAATTTTTTTTTAAATTTTTCTTTGTTAGAACCTTTGAATAAGAAGACTAAGGAAGGAGCATAATGCTAACCATGTATTCATGCATGGTGGGCGGAAAAAGCGCCATAAAAGCACTCTAGGGTCGGGATCCTTGACAGTTCTGTTTGACGATTCATTTGACACATTTGAAATTGATTTGAAATTTTGTGGATTTATCAGTCTTTACGGAGCTTATTTTATGTTATTTATTATTTATTCTACTACTGATAGTTGTATAAAGGTAGTAAATCTAGATGGAAATTGTGGCAGAACTTAAATTAACAGTGACACTATCGCAATTTATCGAAAAGACTCTAAAATAGTTGGTTGTGTAGCGTGCGGTAGATCTCGGCAAAAATTGAGTGAAATAATGGAACAACTTTTCGCTAGTAAGTGACTATATAATATACATACGTGTAGTAAACCGATCATTTATGAAATTCACTTAAATTAACTAAATTATATATTTTTCTTGTATTTTAGCTTTTATTTACTACTTGTCAAAGATCAGATGTCGAAGAATTTTGATACGTTGATTTGACTTACCTGCTTCAGTAGCGTATCGGATGTTTGTGTTAATGAATACTTATTATAACTTATCTATTTTTATTAGAATTATATATTTCTATAACAATTTTAATAACTACCAACATTTATTCACAACGTAAAATAAAATAACAAATTATTGAGTCTACCACACGTCTTCCCTACATCATAGTTTTACATTTTTTAAATAAAATTAGAACGGCACTGATAAACCGGAATTTAAGTCGGCCATATTTGAGGCCCATCGCGGTGTACCTAAGATTTTTGATATGCTCCTTCCTGAGTCTTCTTATTCAAAGGTTAGAACCATTTTCCCCTATCTGCTGAAATAAAGTGGTGGGGGAAGATTAGATCTATCTTTATTTAGATGTTAATAACTCCGGACTGGATGATCAGAATCCAACAAACGACGGCTCGTTTAAAATAGCGTTTCTTACTCTATATTATACCGTAATAATAATAATATAAGGATTTGAAAGTAGACGCTAGGGGGCGCTTTCTTACAATTTAACAAACATAGCGCGTTTTTTCAAAAAAATTAAATAAGATAGTATGTGTAATTTTAGCTGACAGTAAAGAGTAGTAAAAGCTTAAAAAGTTAGCGAAAACCGCATCTTGATATCTTCTTTCAAACCGAAGATATTAGCAAAATTATAATAAATACCAGGTGCCCGGTGGCGTAGAGGTACAGGCTCTCGTCTACCAATCTCAAGGTAGTGGGTTCGAACCCACACCCGGCATTTCATCAGCCGACTATTTTTATTAAAATAAAAATAGTTTGGGTACCTAGGTCGACTCGGCCTTAAATGAGTACTTGGGATTCACAATCCTGAGGTAATAATAGGCGGTTGAAGCCTAGTGCTAGCCACATTACCTTCCTTGTATACCGAACGGCTCTAGTATATCAAGCTGTACCTTGCTACTCCCAAGGCGTCAAACGCTATATACGGGAGCTATTATTATTATTATTATTATTATTATTATATAATAAATACCAAAAAATAAGCCCTTAATTACTTAATTTTTACAACACGGTATCAGTAGCCCTCTTGATTATGCCCATTCTAACAAAAAAATAAGATAGAAACAGTTAGGTTATTTTAAAATCGACGAAATACCAGAATACCATAATACTAGATGCATTAATATCTAATAATTAAGACATTAATAAAAGTGAACAAGAAATGATGATTCAGTGAAATCATGTTAGGCTTTGGAAAAAAGTTGCTTTTCGCGTAATAGTATAAACGTCAAATTGTTATTAGATTAACATTTTGATTGCCATCGCAGAGTTTTTTTATCTTTTAATTGTTTTTTTCAAAATGCCTTTTTTATTTGAGTAGTTGAAATTGTTGGGGCATTTTGAAAAAGCAATCAAAACATAAAAAACGCTGCTAAGACTATCAAAATGTTGATCTAATAACAATTTAACGTTTATACTATTACGTCAAAAGCAAGTTTTTTCCAAAGGCTACCATGACTTCACTGAATCATCGTTTCTTGTTCACTGATATTATATCTTAATAATTATTAGATATTAAAACCTCTGGTATTATGGTATTCTGGTATTTCGTCTATTTTAAAATAAACTAACTGTTTCTATCTTATTTTTTTGTTAGAATGGGCATAATCAAGAGGGCTACTGATACCGTGTTGTAAAAATAAGGTAATTAAGGGCTTATTTTTTTGTATTTATTATAATTTTGCTAATATCTCCTGTTTGAAAGAAGATATCAAGATGCGGTTGTCGCTGACTTTTTAAGCTTTTACTACTCTTTACTATCAATTAAAATTACATACACTATTGCATTTAATTTTTTTGAAAAAACGCGCAATGTTGGTTAAACTGTAAGACAACGCTCCCTAGCGTCTACGTTCAAAAGCTTATTATTATTGTTTATATGGTACAATATAGAGTAAAAAAAGCTCTTTTAAACGAGCCATAGCTTGTTGGATTCCGATCATCCAATCCAGAGTTATTAATATTTAAATAAAAACAAATCTAACCTTCCCCCACTACTTTATTTTGGTAGATAGGGAAAAATGGCTCTAACACAAAATATTCAAAATTTACTGAAGATTATGAAGCTATTACTTATAGTACACCTTATCTAGGCAAAATAATGTAAAAATTCCATTTTCTTATTTTTTGTTGCAGTTGCGCCCCCTAGCGGTCGTTCTACAAACTTGAAAATAATTTCCAGCACTTTCTAATAGCCTCTTTAGTCATAAATATTTTTTTCCGCAGCCCCTACGGCTAATACTTTCCGAGATACAACCGAGAGCTATTCTTAGTGGGACACCCTGTACAATCCTACTACAGTTCATACCAAATAAACTTTTAGTCGCGTGATTAAGCTAGATCGGCACAGCGTTGCCCACTTTTACATATTTTAGTAATTTTTAATCGAAATATTTTAGAAAACAGAAATAACTTAATTATAAATATATAAACAGTTATTATTTATATCAAACTCATCATCTTCTTAACAGCACGTTAACTTTCCCGTTCAAAATATTCTAATAAAGTTACAATGAGTTTTTTTACGGCTATTAAGCTATCTTGTACACTTCGCACTAAAAGAGGTTCTAAAAAGAACAATGTTCGACTGCAATGTATTCTAGTAAACATTTTTAAGCTTAAATTATCACAACGCTAATTAAACCAAAAACTCGTAACACAAAAAAAACTAAAGTAAAAAACGAATATCAATGTCAATAAATAAATAAATAAATGTGGCACCTTGACATTTATTACAGCAGAGCTACGACCTGAATCACCAGCGGGAAATTTGAATTTCAGTTAGTCAGCCCGGAGCTGAATATGTCCTTGGTTGGCAACAATGAATTTAAAAATCGCGCCCTCGATTACGTAACTAAAAGTTTAATTTGTATCAAATACAGGGTTGTTAAGTAGTTTACCAAGCAAAAAACTACGCCAAAAACTACGCGTAGTTTTTTGTATTAACTACATTTTAAAATTTTAATAACTACCTTCAAAAACTACACAAAAACTACGTTAAAAACTACCTACAAAAATATAGTAAAACATAAACAATTTAGACTTTAAACAAAAATCAAGCCAAATTCTTATCATGGAAGTATGAAGTTATACAAATATAATATAAGTTAAACAACATCAGAAAAAATGACAATTTTTTTTTCAACAAAAGTGTATTTTCTACGAAATACAAAGTAACATTGAACACAAAATAAACTACAAATTCTTATGGAGAAATTCTCCATAGACATTCTCCAGGAGAGAATATATGATTTTTTACATCTAAAGGCACAACTTCATAATTCCCCTCTTCCCAGAAGGTATGGAGCAAGGTATGGAGACATCGACGTCTTCCAAGCATTTTTAACTACGTATCAAAAAGAAAAATCAAGTATCAAAAATATCACATAATAAGGAACAAATTCACAAAATATAGATTTTTTATTTCTTTAAATTGATCAACAAACAAAGTTTTTAGGTTATGTTTTCACTGTTATTTATAAAAACTACATTAGTTACATAAACTACACATTTACAACTCGACATTTAAAAAACTACTTGTGACATGTAGTAAATGTAGTTTATTAATTACTACGTGTAGTTTAACAACTCTGATCAAATATAGAACTACTCCAAAACTTTCCCCTAAGGAGCTTTTTTGAGTACAATTTGACTAGACTATAAGAATACTTATCTTGGATCCTTGTATATCCTTGTATACCGTGTGTTGTATCGTAGACTTGAACATAGAAACACAATCAATAAGTTTTCCCCATTTTATTTTAGAGAAAAACTTGAACCTTTTTAGAGAACTTAAAATGACGCACATTATTCATTTTGAATAAGTAATTTTCCACCATCTCCTCTTTTTTTCCTTTGAAATTATAAGCTAACTATTGTTTAAGTAATTTATATAATTCCTCTAACAATTTATATTTAAAATGTATTTTTTGTAATATTTTAGCTATATGTAAATGGTAATTGACTTTCTATTACTTGACTTGTATTTTTTACTTTTTTTGATAGTTTTTTATTCAGCTTGGTCTAAGGATGAGACTTAACCGCCTCGAAACATGTCACCCCCCCTTTTTGCAAAAAAAGTTAAGATTGTGACAATACTATGCCTTTTATTCCTTCATTGGAAGATATTTATTAATATGAACTCACTCTGGGTCAATGGAACTTTGTTAATATTTTCTTAAACTAAACAAAAAATGTCTTACAACAAGGTTTGCAAGACGACTGCCCACGATTCGAATGTCAAGGTTCCCCAGGGTGCCTGACAGATCCTCCAACCTGTGGACCGTCCGAATTTGCAGATTGCAAGCATTTGGGCAAAAAGGGGTACGATCCCAAGAAAAAGGACTTGGAACAGTACCAGTGTTACCCAGCGTACGTCCGTTTACCGACATGCGCTCCGTGTGGAGGAAATGGTGGCGGCAATGGTGGCAAAGGTGGAAATGGAGGTAATAAAATGCTAAAAGTTTAATTTCATTTTTGATGCAGACCGGTTGATATACATAATAAGTGTCAGACATCTACTACGCCAAAATTGAGATTATACAGCACCTATAAAATACATTATGTAATGACTCATCTTAGTAGATTAGGTTTGGATTGGGAGTATAATGTAGGATATAGAATAAGAAGGGGAGGGAGACGACCTTAAAGATCTATTTTGACTCTCTTTCTTGAGTTATAACTCCTCATACAATCTGAGGACTTTGAGAAAAGCCAGTATTTTTTTAGGAGTAATAATTTTTAAGTTCTGTTTGAATTTGGTTTCCATATGAGTAGCAACACGATTCTAGTCCAGTTAGTAAAGTGTTTTTTTTTTCTCTACTCACTAATGTAGATTTCTTGTCTATTATTCTTTGGACATAGAACTAAGTATTTTTATATACATATTTGGCATTAATCTTATAATTACTATACAGATTATACAACTAAATGTTGCATTCCCAGTCTCAATCGCCAGCCATCTCTGTCGTACACGAGATCTTCTTCAATATTCCGATTTCTCATCGCCTGTCGTATACCATCGTTCCAGGACCGATGCGGGCGTCCCCTTTTGTTCCTTCCAGGGGGTGACCATTTGAATACACGTTTTGACCATCTTGTGTTCTCCATCCTCATTACATGACCAAACCATCTCAAACCTCTTTTCTCTATTCGTTTTAATGATTGAATTACTGTTTCTTGTGCCGATGTTATGTTTCTAATTTCCTCGTTTCTCACTCTTTGTAATCTAGAGAAACTAAGTATTTTTGGAATCAAAATAAATTCATTGGGCACAATTTACCTCAATAAAAAAGTGCTTCGTTTGTCCGGTAGAGGGTATTAAACTTTAAAAAAAATAAACGCCTAAGTATTTTAAGATATTTTAAGAACCGTTATTCCGATTTGAATTAAATTTGGGGTTGCCTATGTTTGCTAAGTGCTAACATTTGACTTTAACAATAATCAAGAAAAAGTACGAAGGGGTGAGAACTACCCCACCTCTACATGAATTTTAGTACAAATATTTTTTTAACTCTACTGAACACTATTGTTTTTCTTCATAAAATTGTCCTCCAAGTATTTACTACATTTTTTGTCAAAAACAACCACTTCGCATAGTTTTTGAGAAAAAAAAATTGGAGAAACACGATTTCCAGGGAGTTCGGTATTTTTATTTTTATAAAACAACTAGGTGTTTTTTGAATCAAAATTAGTTAATTGGCCATATACCGCTCTATGCAAAAGTGCTTTGTTTATCTCTTAGATGTACTTTGTATAGACGTAAATGTTGTCCAATGAACTTCTTTTTATAATTGATTTAATTTTCACGACCAAATTTTGTTACAGGTTGCTGTCCTCCTTGCGGTCCTTGCGGTCCTTGCGGTCCTTGCGGTCCCTGCGATCCTTGCTGCCCACCATGTTGTCCACCACCATGCGTACCACTCATCGCTCAAGCGCCATGCCCACCGCCAATCACTCCAGGACCACCACCATGCGTGCCCGTTGGCAGAGTCGTACCAGTTTGTCCCGCCATGCCTTGTCCCATACCATGCCCGCCACCTGTCATGTGTTGTCCTCCCATCGGTCAGCCTCAGTGTTGTCCGTGCCCGCCGCCTCCGTGCTGTCCTTGTCCTTGTTAGATGTGACCAAAAAAATTTTTTTTTGGTCTTCATTGTGTTGTATTTAAAACGTGCTGTCTAATAAAGCCATTTTTTTTTTCTATGAGTAGGTGTTATAATCATTTTTAGATATTTGGTTTTTAAATGCTCTGATTTTATAGTATTCTACTTATATATTTCTTGAGGTTTTTGTTATTACCGATTCTGAACCGTCCTAGATAGATATAAAATACATGCGCAGTACGTACATAATTATAATATTAGAAGCTGTTCATAAAACATTTAATTACCACAACAAATTTTAAATGAGATTATTTAATGCAAAAATGCGATTTTGGAAATTCATCTCATCCTCTTAGAGGGTAAAAGAGGTTTTGCTGTATGAAAATTCGTTACTATCTGATTTATAAATTTAAAATTTTCACCGAGAAGCCTTCTACGGCGTAGAGTGGCCACAATACAGTGGGTGGCCAACAAATCTCTAGAAGGGTGGAGAAATTCACTAGAGAAAAGACTGCGAAACCTGTAATGGATCTACAAAGGGCATTGTAAGCTTAATAGGTATCTAAATCTGATGGGACTGATAGGCTTCATGTGCAAATTTTGTCAACCCAACCTAAAGAAGAAACTACAGATCACAATTATGTCAGTGCCACAGAGTGGAAAATGTGCGGTTCATTGTATCAGGCAATGATCAGTCCAATGACTAAAGAATACAAGGACATGTAACGCCCATATACGGGCTGCAGCACAATTTGTGACCTTAGACGCCATTTCTTTGGACATAACGAATGAGTCATCAGCGACAATTTTAGCGATTTTTAATAGTTGGTTGTGTTAGTGAACTTTGTATAAACTCTATTACAATGGTAATTTGTTCAGCTTTCAAGTGTAAAAGGTACAATGATAAGAAAAAGCCAGGAGTTACGTTTTTATAGGGAAATAAACAATCCACTCCACCTTTTTAGCGTTTTTTTACTGAATTTGAAAATTATTTTTCTGATATTTATATGTACTTGATATGTGCTATACGTCGATATTAGATTTGTCCCTTTTGTTCATTTTAATATGTTTTTTTTCGTAATTAATTAGTATGATACCACCGGATACACCATAGGCGTAGTAAAAACATTTATCAAAAACATAAAATATCGCTTCAAGCGGTTATGTTAAGAAAAATATCTGCCACGGCACTGTTTGGAAGAAAGATCACAATTTGGTCTCGTGTGTTATTTGTCCTTGTATTCTTTAGTCATTGGATCAGCCATTAACAAAGAGGTTATTATGGAAGGTTCAACCTTAGACTAAGAGGGTTCAACCTACCAGTTATTATAATTTTTGAAAAGGATAGGACGGAAGAATGGTAACCTGGAGATCAGAAGAGGACACAACATTAAAATATTGTCAAGCAGGTGAGGAATAATTAAAAATTATCATTTCATAGAATAGGGGTACCTATATAAATAAAACACAGCAAAATAACTTTAACACTTTATAACTCTTTCAACAAAAATATTAGCTGGGAATGGAAATATCCTTTTAACAAATTTGTGCACCTTTATTAAAATATCTACAACATTATAGATTACTTAATTATTTTTAAATATATATCGTTTAGAAATTAAATATATTGCTTTGCCAAGTGTGGGTCATAATTAATAGATGTAAATATACTTAGTTTGGATGTATGTTAGTTTAGTGCTGACTAAAAATTTGTAAAACTATGGTAAGAAGTCTATCAACATTTCCACTTAACATAAAACCTGAAACTGTGAATTGTGGCCAAAAGGAATATATGTAGATAATTTATATAGAAATTATTTTTGATATTTACATCTATCAATAATTTAAAATATATAAAATTAACCCTTATAATTGAATTTATTTATTTTAGTAATTATCATTATTTTTTTGTAGTCCGACCCACACAGTTTAAGCAAAAAAAATTAAAGAATATTAAAAAAATAAAAACATAGTGTATATTCAAAAGTGACATCAGTGCCATTTTCTCGAGAGAGAAGTAATAATTAATTACAGGAATTATAAATTTAAACAAAAAAATAATTAACAGGAAGTTAAAAGTAGTCGTTGCATTTGTTTTTTTTTTGGTATTTTATCAGTTCCATTATTATTTGCTACTTTTTCACATTTATTTATTTGTTCTAAGATGTAACGAATGCAACTACTTAACTAAAGATCTTTTGCAATTTAGAATTATAGTACATATTAGGAATACAAAACATTGTTGCACCTATATTTACTTCTCATAATTATATTAGTAAAATGTACATCATGTGCAAGTATTTTTTTTAGGATGTGTAAAACGAATGTGTAATTTACTAAAACCAATGACAAACGATACTGTGTACAGGGTGAGTCAACCATATAGTATAAAGTCCATTATCTCATTTGTTTGGATATTTACAAAAAAAATATATAGAAGTTATAGGGAAGGTTCAGGTACGCATTTTATAATTATTATAGAGTTATAGAGTATACCGTGTGCTTTAAGAAAGTGTGGCGGATATAACATATATTTTTTTTTTAATGCAACACCATACCATTGTTATTTTTTATTAGGTTTATTATTAGGTTCTACGTAAAATTCTATAACTTTTATATATAATGTTATAACCTAAATTTAATAGTTTTGGTAATATTTCAATTTGTTTAAATGTTAGATTTCTCTCTCTCTCTCTCTCTCTCTCTCTCTCTCTCTCAGTGTGGTAAAAAATTGTCAGGTAGGAGAATTTTATAGAGATGAAGAAAAAGATGTAATATGTAAAGATATTTTAGTTAGATGCTTCAGGATGTTCAAAATATATTTATGAATTCATCAACTAATAAAATTTAAAAAATCTCGAATTTTCTAAATAGCACACCCAATATATTATCATTTTTTCTGATAGATTTTACAAAATTCTTCAACTTTTATAAGTATATCTTATACCTATTTTTAATAATTTGCGACTTTTTCTAAATTTTTCAATTTTTATTTTTATAATTCAATTTTTTTTGCCTGTTCGTGTATATCAATCATTGACTAATTAATTTTCAGGAAAATCTGTAACTATTATCTCTACTATCTACAGGGTGGTCCGAACTGTTTTCCGGAAACTTCGGCAGCATATTCTGCAGACAAAAATAAGTAAAAAAGTTCGTATGAATGTATGTCCTAAAATGCTTAGTTTTGGAGATACAGGGTGTAGAAATTTCATTTTTATTTCGTTTTTTTCCGAATAGTTTCTGAAGTAACGTCAATACTTGGATGAAAATTGGTGTTTGGGAGTTTTTTGACATAAGAAATTTGATTTCGATGTCAATATGACTCCCATTTGCAGAGGGCGCCACCTACATGTGTTTTAACTGTTTTGAAGTGTAATAACTTTTCGTCCGTACCTGTATAAAACTACTGAGTGAAAAAATATACATTTTCACGAGTTTTTATGTAAAAAATGTCTCTGGGTAAAAATTGCTACGATCAAACGTTTTCAAGATATTTAGAATGGAAATAGTCAATACATGGTATTATTGACAAAAGATAAACACGTTGAGTAGATAGTCATTTGACTGAAATAATAAATTTTGGAAAAAAAATTATTTTTTTAAATTAATCATAATATAATGATGATGAAAAAACTTTTGGCACAAAAACATTTCAAATTTATGATTTCAGTCTAATAACTATTTAGTCAACATGTTTAATTTATGTCAATGATGGCAGGTATTGATAATTTCGAGTAAAAATATCTCGAAAATCATTACCCGTTGCGATTTTTATTCAGAGACCTTTTTAACGTAAAAAACGTCGAAAATGTATATTTTTTTACTCAATAGTTTTATACAGGTACGGACAAAAAGTTATTACTCTTCAAACCAGTTAAAAATATGTAGGTGGCGCCCGCTACAAGTAGGAGTCGTTTTGTCATCAAAATGAAATATTTTATGTCAAAAAACTACTAGACACCAATTTTCATCCAAATATTGACGTTACTTCATAAATTATTTGGAAAAAATCGAAATAAAAATGAAACTTCTACACCCTGTATCTCCGAAAGTAAGCATTTTAGAACATAAATTTATATGAACTTTTTCACTTATTTTTATCTGCAGAATCTGCCGAAGTTTGCGGAATACAGTTCGGACCACCCTGTATACTTATTACAACAAATTAAACTATAAATCCAGTTTTATTCTTGACTTGCTTAACAAACATTACTTTTTTTATTACTTTTTGCATGGCAACTATGATGTTATTGCCCAATTGTATTAAAAATATGGCTAAAGATTGGAATAAAAATCGCAAACTATTAAAAATAGATATATGTCATACTTAATAAAAGTTGAAGAGTTTTGAAAAATCTATCTATAAATTTCAGATTTTTTAATTTTAAATAGTTGAAATTCATAAATATGTTTTGAACGCCCTGCATTGCAGCATCTAACTAAAATATCTTTGCAGATATATTTTTCTTCATCTTTATAAAACTCTCCTTCCAAATTTAAGTATTACAAAAACGATTAATTTTAGGTATATTATAACATTATATGCGCTGGGTGGACCAAACTAAAGTAATTATTGGTCACGGCCTATAAGAGGCTTCTATAGCCGCTCAAGATAGAGAGGGATGGAGAACAATGATCTGAGCAATTGAGATATGATGTCACCATACTCTTTCGAGAGTTAACGGACGAGAAGAAGAAGATTATATTTATATAAAAAAAAGTTATATAATTTGACGCAGATCTAGAAATACAATAAAGAATAGTGTTGTATTTATAAGAAAATATATACATATATTATTCGCCACACCTGTTTGAAAGACCCTGTATACTATATAATAATTTTAAAATGTGTATCTTAACCTTCCCTATAACTTTTTTATTTAACATTTTTTTGTGATCCTCGAAACATTTGAGATAATGGACATTACTCTATCGTTGATTCACCCTGTACATTCCTAGTGAGCGAATAGCACATATCAAGACTTATTTTTTTATTAATATAACCTTTATTAGATAAATAAGTAGTTATTACAAGGTATATTACAATACGTCAAATATAGATAAAAAACTAAATTGGAGGCTATAAAAAATATAATTTAC